GGGAACTGAGAATACTGCAACCAGATTGCTAAAGCTGACCGCAGATGTAGTTTATGTTCCTCTGAGCCCATATGAAAAGACACCTGGCAAATAGTATGAATGATAAGGGTACAGGGCATTGATTACTTATTTAATTTTATGGGAGCATACATAATTTAACTTCCCTTATTTTAAAAAAGTTTATATGGCTAAATGCAAACAAATTATAATAGTATATACACCTGAATGTAAAGTCTCACTGAAATCGAAAGAATGTTGAATTTTATGTGTACAAGGCATGTGACTGACACTGAAGAAAGTATTTATATAAGGTAGAACAATACCATTTGGAATGTTAAAAACAATTGACAACAGGGCTGGGTTTTCATCATGAATCAATGGCCTAATAAAAAGTTCATAATAAAATAAATGAACATTTATTTAGAGGAACACAAAAGAAAAAACAGGTCAAAATTAACAAAACAAGATATGTACTTTTTATTCTTCTTCTTTAATGAAACTAGAAATAGCAATTAAACAAGGTTTCGTATAAAAAAATAAATAAATACATATTTTTATTAATTTGATCACAATATTTAAGTAATTTTAGTACTTACATAAAAAGCCCATGAATGGTCAAATATTAATATATCTGCATACCCCAATTATGTGACTGAAATGTCATTTTAAAGCATTCCCATTAATGTAAACCTTCTCGAATTATGTGAACATCTGAAGGCATAATAGCAATGTTATATACTTAATATATTTCAAATATATTTATTTAAAATATTTTATGGAAAGAAAATATATTCACTGTAAATTAAAGTTTCTTCACTTTAAATGTATGTCAGCTGTCAGAAAGGTTTAAATTGTTTGAAATCTCACACACCTTACAACCAGCGCATTCCCTCTAAGCTGCCTAGCTGCACAGCTTCACAGGTGATTAATCAGCCCCACCCAGTCAGAGGCTGAGGGCTTCCTGCATGGAGCTGACTGACTGGGTGGGATTGGTTAATCACTTGTGAAGCTGTGCTACTGCAAAGCTTAGAGGGAACACTGATTACAACCCAATTTGCCATTGGTGCTGGTGTTATTAATATCTTTGGCTCTTTTTGCTTCATTCTAATATTTTGTAAATTTAATGCTTATATTTTTTTCTCCTTCCTTTTCACTCTACGCATACTCCCCCAACAAACTATGTGAACTCTAACCTACATAAGTGAACAAGAGATGTATATAAATGCACTGAAACTGTAAGTAATTAAACAAGTTTAGAATAGGTCTATACAAATAATATAACCTAATTTCTCCCAACTATTTTTCCACTGACCATATATATATATATATGCTTCTCAATAGAGAAGATATTTGGTACTACTACTTTTTAAATTCTCCAGATCTATTATAATACAAAGAACTAAACAGACTATTACAAACACTGTTTTTGAAACAGAGGACCCTCACTAATCTTGAACATTAAGCAACCACTTGGTGTTTTTAGCCCTACAGCATAATGTTGCTCAACCATCCTTCCTCTTATATTTTGTTTGCCCCAAGAGACAGTGACCTGTCTAGGTATATAAACTTGTCACTACTGCCATTCACTCAAGTTCACCAACAGCATTGGGAATCTAACCACACATGTAGCTGTTAAGATCTTGGTATTTCAACAGGGCTACATATAATTCCCTGAAGCTAAGCACTCATTATCCTCTTTGTGTAAGTATATATGGCTGAAAAATGCCATTTATTACTAAAATATTATTTCTTTTTAAACTATTGTCTGTTAGGAAAGCGATGATTTTATATAAAATAATATGATGTATCTTAATATCATTCTATTTTTTTACAATTACAAGTGTGAATTCAGACTAAAACAAACATGTATTACCATCATCCCTGAAATCAACATGGCTCTTTGGTTTTTTTCCACTGAAGTCCAGGAACATCTGTTTCTATTTATTACCTCAATCCTGTTTACAAGGTCATAAAATGTCTCAAAGAGGGTGACAATGAAAACAGCAGGAACAGATGAAATCCTGAGCAACAAAAATCCTGTTTTCATAGATGAGTCCATGGTAATGAAAACAAGCAAAGAGAAATAGAAGAAGTATAAACCAGAAGAATGGTTTCTAAAGATTGTTTTCCATAAAGCATGAGGAGGTTTTTTAGCACTTCACAGAGTGCCTGAATTTTGGAGATATTTTATCTCATTTATTTATGTTTTTCAGTTCTAAGCTTTGTCGCACTGAACACAAAGCAACATACCTTTGTAGTCTCTCTCAAAGCACAGAGTTTGAGGTTTCGTATAAGTTCATACTTTCAAATTCTTAAAATATCCTTGAGCAAAAAGAGCTATTTTTCAAAATTGTAAGCCTTTTCTGTATTCAATAGATGACAAATATCTTGGATTCTTTTGTAACCTCTCTTCCACTTTTCCTCTTGAACTAGTTTCTTATTGCTAAATCTTCAGTACTGTCTATTGACTTTATGAGGCTAAGGCAAAGACCATTGAAATATTCCCATTGACTACAGCAGGATTTAGATTAGTCCCTGTTAGGATTAGCCACAAACAGGCTAAAAATTACTTCTCCAGGAAGACATGAAAGGATGGATTTCCAATTAAAAGTTCTGAAACTGTCTTTTGTTTCTGGCTCCTTCACTAATACAAAAAGGTTAGAACATCTGGTATAGCACTTATTTCAACAACTACCCCTTGCACCAGCTACTTAGCAATCGGATACATGAGGTAAAGCCTACGTTTTAGAAGGTTTCGTTTAAAAATTTATGAACAAAAATCAGCAGGGATTCCAATAGAGAAGCCCCAGTCAACAGAACGCATTTATCAAAAAGTTCTGAATGTCCCTCAAAACTTTTCGCTAAATGAAGTTATGCTGTATAAAGAGTTTGGGATTCTGGAAATATGAGCGGCCAGGCTTGCCTGAACCCCTGCTAAAATAGTTGGAGTGGGCGGTACTATATTGAGTTATTCAAAAGCTAGCTTTCCTTTGGATTGAGACTAACAGTTTGCGTTCAGCCAATGATCTTAAAGTAATCACGTAGAGAATTAAAGTTCTCCAGCAGGTAATTTGCAGATAAGCAAATTATTTAAGTTTTGCTAGAATTATTAATTATTATTAATTATTTTTATTATCATAGTACCAAGGAGCACCAGTCACAGGCTAGGGCCCCACTGTGCAAACACAGAACAAGAAGACACTTGTTGCAAAGATTTTATAATCTAAGTGTAAAACAAGAGGAAACAGATGGAAACAGATGGGGGAGTGCAAGAGACAATATTATCTAAACAGACAAAACAGACATCAGGGGTGGGGGAGCCTGGAACACACAAGCATAGTGAGCAATGTGATGGCAGCAAACATCATGTTAGTGCCATTATTTTGATTAATTTTGTTTTGGGTGGGTTTGGTTTTAGAGGGGTCAGCTAAACAGAAGGGAAATGCAGAGGGGCACAGGTGATGGGGGAGGTGGAGCAGGAGTGGAGTGAAGCTAATGTGAGCAGAGGAGATGGAGGAGAGAGGGGAAGGGGTGGAGTAAATAGCCAATCACTGAGAGACACAGGAAGATTTTCTAGACTGTCTAAAGGATGAAAAGTCCCTACTTTGGCTGCTTCTGATCCTCCCAGCTGGAGTCTCTGTTAAGGGTTAGAGCCTGCTGATAGACACTTGGGCAGATGCCTGAGGCCACATGGAGCCAAACTGAAATCAATAAGGCGCTTTGGTGTCTAACCTGTTCTGAAGCAGTAGCCACTATACTACTACTATTGGGAACTAGCTACAGTCAACTGGCCAAACAGCCACATGTGGCTAGTGGCTATGGTATTGGACACCACGGATTACAGGATATGGTCCTTACTGAGCAACTCAACCAACAGACATCCTACTAAAACATAATTTATTTGCACTGACAATACCTGTTCCTCAAACAAGCAGTTACTAGGTATTTCAGCTAATACCTATCTCACTTTTTCTCCTTGAAGATCTTCAATCCGTCTTTGAGCACAGCAACTTTTATCCTGGAAAGTCATTTAATTTTAAAAACCCTTTTTTATAAAATAATCAATTATGTTACAGGTTATAAACCTTTCCCCATACATAATTTCAGTAAAGTTTTTAATTCTTTAATCCTACTCCTTATTCAGGGAATTCAAAGGTTCATGTGCCCTTCACCCAGACACTGCAGGCAACTGCTGTGTGGGTCACTGATGGGAGCACAGGATGTTTTCAGTGGTTGCAGGGCTAAAACCCAGGAGACTGGCCATGCCCTGAAGTGGGGCAAAAGTCCCAGTCAGGACCAACGACTGACTGGCTAACTACACTAAGGGGGTCTAACTAACTATAACTCTTTGCAAGAAACTAAAATAAATGATGTGAACAAGCTGGGAAGTGGTTCCAACACTGTCACTGGGGGCAAGAAGGAACTGTGGTGGTGGGGGAAAGCACAGAGCCACCACTCCTGGGATCGCTAGGAGCGCTTCCCTGTAGATACTATAAGAAAAAAACTTGCGGAACTGGTCCATGTGATGAGCATGCACATCTACTGTGCAATGGATATGAGCAAGCACTCGAAGAAGGAGTGTTTTCAGGATCAATAGTTAGAAAAATTATGAATGATTGGGAAATGCTTCAATGAGCATGTAAAACAGGACATTTCAGCTGATAACTAAGATATGAACTGCACTAAGCATATTTCTCTAGCTCAGGAAATGTATAAAACTCAGCAAAATATATTGAAAGGCAAAATAACTGATTGGACTTTGCCTAGACAAAACTACTATGTTATTTGTATTGGTGCGAGATAATATCAGGAATGCTGGAACAATTTTTATAGTGGGGGGTGCTGGTGATGGCAACCCTGGAAACCATGTATTTAGTGATTGTTATTACTACTTAGAACCAGGGAGTTCAGCACCAACAATTACCATCTGAAGGGACAATTAAGTGTATAGAAATTGATTTGTACAAATCTTGCAACAGAAGCTAAATAAATGTGCTTACCGTATAAAGCTCATTTAAAACTTTCATTAAATCTTCATGAAGCTGGAATGCAATCTCCTTGCTCTGTAATTAAAAAGAAATTATTACGAAGAGGCACTTAAATCTTCACAGAAATTTGCATTCATCATTCATTCATATTTGAAAGCTAGAGCAATAAAGACTGTGAAGATACTATTTTGACAGAATTCCAGTACACTAAAAATTAATCATTAAACGATCTAGACAGACATACAACAGCTGGAGAGAAATCTTCCAATAGGCGATCCAGAAGTGATTTAAGAGTGCAATTCTCATGAAGTATCAAGAAATTAGTTGCTAACACAAAGGCTAAAGTTTGGAATTAATGTTATAAGGCTTTTAAAAAAATGTATACTGTTCTACAGCAATGATACAAATATATAATAAACCACCAGGAACATAACATTCTAGGATATCCTATCCATTCCTAGATCCAGTGTTTCTCAGTACATACAACTATTTCTTTTATCTAAATATTTATTCAAGGGTAATTGTAGTTCCTCTTTGAAACACACAGCCAACTGCCTAATTTTCCACAGAACAGAGAGCTGAAACAGCTTTGTTTAACTTCTTTGCACCACATCTCAGCTTTCATTATGACCCATGAAAAAGAAATACTTGGCACTGGTTAGTAAAAAAAGCAAATATGTCAAAACAGGAGTTTAATTGGAGCCTCATTCAAAGAGATTCATTTGTTATTTGTCCATGTAACAGTTCAGTCAGATGAAAACTGTGGCAACTATGCAAGAGTTGCAGACAATTGTACAGCAGCCTTTGGAAAGCAACTACATAAAAGATTCATAAGCTCTGGCAAAATGCTTATCTATATTTTTCCTTTAGTGTTTATCATTATGGCATCTAGCTAAACTGCAGTGTGGGATCTAAACACAGTTTTTTTTGCGATTAAACTAATAAGTAGCTCTTAGCTTAAAAAAATCAAATCTCATAATAGATTGAGATTTTTAGCTGTGAAAAGCACTATCTGCCTATATGTAAGATGAAGGAAAATCTCCTGCGGCATAGCAACTCATGGTCAGAGCTACTAATGTATTTAGAAGCAACAATAGGAATAACTGTCCTTGAACACACATTTTCTATACTACACCCAAATTCCCCATAGAGCCACAGAATACATGCCATCAAATATGCTTTCCAAGAAACTGAAACAAACAAGATTTTCGGAATGGACATTTTTCATTTGCTTCCCCTCTCCCTACCATCCCCAGATTTTAAGCCATGTCACACCAATACCATCGTTTTTCATTTTTATTAGAAGTCTTACAGGCAAGACGATTTTTGATAATTTTCTGGGAGTCTGAAAGACGGAAAAGGGTTAGCAAGATTCATGTTGCATAACAGCTTGGTAATTATGACAGAACCTAGTTCCACATCAAGATAGCAGTTTTCAAGATCTGTTATAAAATATACCACAAAAATCTTTCCTATTCTTTATCATTTTGGAAGTTTGGCATATTTTAATGCTAAATCTCCCCCTAAAGTAGGTTCTGCCATTTGAAAGTCTAGCAAACAAGGTTTACTAATTCAACATCTTTGCAAAATCCAGACTAATGCATTTTATGTTATGATAAATGAAGATCATGTACTACTAGTTTATAGTACACCATCTAAAGATACATGAGGTATTGCAATATATTGTAAATCTCTGGCCTGAAATGTATTAAAAGCTTTCTAAAAAATTCTAAACTACTTTAATTGCTTTACGTGGCACGTTGCCTCTAAAACTTTACAATCTTGCTTTGTCATAGCCCAGAGAAATTCTGATGCAGTGTGCTCATCACTTCACAAAACTCATATCTGTTTTTTCTCCAGGTAACTAAATATGATCAGCCTGTGTTAAAACTATTTTTGCAGACCAAGGTATTCAAACAACATGGTAGTAGCCAGACTATAAATCAGAATTTGAGGTTGAAAACCAATCCATGGAGAAGCTCTGAGGTGAGATCAGTCCCCAATCCCAACTCAATCCATCCATATTTTTCAGTCACCAGTACTGTCTGAATACCAAGCTTGACAAATTGAAACCCAAAGTGAGCAACACTGGCTCTAAAGCAGTGCTTCCTCATGTAGTGGCAAGTGCCCAGACTAGTTTCAGGTGTGTATGAAGGGAGGGGGAGGGGAGGGGAAGGGCAAAGAGAAAGCAACCCAATACAAGTGCCTGCTGCAAATACTGTTGCCGTAAAGTATTGGTAATTCTTTGAAAACCATGTGCTTTTCCTCCCTGCTCTTCTGCTGAGCCTTATAGCAACTAGCCATGGGATATGCTACTGTGTCCAGGAAGCAGCTCCTGGTTCAGTCTTCTCTGCTCCTGCAGTCCTCAGGTCAGCCATGCATGCACATACTCAGCTCAGCTCCACAGAACTGCCAACAACCACTCCTGGCACGCCCCTCTCTTCTCTCCCAGTTAGCTTTTGGATGAATGGGACTTAAGAGATGAGAAGGAGCTTTAAAAGCAGCGAGCTAAAATTGTAAAATAAAAAGTATAAAAGCGAAACAACTAAACCATCAAGATGAGCAGGAAAAGAACAGACTGAGGATGGTAGTGAGACAGAATAGCCAGAAGAAAGGACATACAGCAGCAAGTGAGCAGGGTCATGGAGAGAAGAGGACAAGGAACATGGCAACCATTCCACCTGTTCATGACAAAAGTAATCTCAGCAGACGGAGGTTGGGAACTGCCCAAAACAGAGAGAGCCTTGTAATGGAGGGAAAATGTTGATTTTTTATTTATCCATTAGAATTGTGTATGCATGGAAGGGACAGGAATAGAAATAAATGAAGTGATTTTGTTAACCCACAGCTCCTAGCAGTCCAATGGACTAACTCTCAAGAACTAATGCATTTTGCATTAGTATTTAACATCAGGAAATTCTGGCTCAAGGGGCTAGTAACAAGGCTTTTAGTGTGTAATATGTATTGTGTGCGCGCCTCGGATGTGCAGTACATTTCTTTTCTGTTATTAACAGCTCCCTCCTCATTTTCAGTCATGCTACTTATTCTCCTCTCCTGCAGTGCTTCAGTGTGCTTGAAATGTTACTTCCTTTGGGAGTTTATCCTCAGCAAAGCCAAATGACAATATGAAAGATATAGCACACCTTTTCCTGGAGCTAAGTCAGTATCTCTTATCTGTCTCTCAAGATCCTAACAGCAAGCTTTGAGAAACTGTGGTCTTCATTCTTGCCTCAAGAAATTTACTGAGATGTAACCCTCATTGTGCTTAAAATTTTCAAAATTATAATGGATCCAACAAGTGTAGAGAAAAGCATAGACCACAGGCCTTAATACAACCTCATAAGAATGGATTAAACAGAAATCTTCTTGTGTTAAATTACTTTACAAACACATCTTTTACTAAACCAATTATAGTACAGTAATTCCTAATCCACTTTCAACGTATACTGAGATTAACACCATCTGAAGACAATGTCACAAAAAATGTAAAAAAACCCCAAACCCTACATATTTATTTTCCTAATTGAATTGGTATAGTAATAATTAAATATCAATGTATCCAGAAAGTGTACAAACTAGTACTCTGCATAAGCATATTAATGGGACTTCTCACAGGCATAAACATATGTAAGAGTGGGGCCTTACAGTCAGTGCTACTTGACATGAGGGAGGAGGGTTTAACACTTAATGTTTAAAACTGGAAGAGAGAAAAAATGATTATCAACAAATTTTGAAATCCAACCAATATATGTTTCTCTCTCTCTATAATGACACTTGCATTCAACACTAAACAGCACTGGGATATATGCATAATGGGAGTATATCAAGATTTCATTAGATCTATTATTTACATTTCATATATTTAACATTTTACTACACACAAATGGCTTGCTCCCACTGCCTCAATGCAAGTTTTCCTATCTGTTTCAAATGGAGCAACACTGAGCCCAAAATTATTTGACTGGCTTTCACTTCAATTTTATGGTTAATTAAGATGAATTTTTCTTGGAATGCTGTAGCACCTCTGTTTAGAGCATGTTATTTTACAGCACTCAATGACACTGTTCCTGGAATATTTCTCTTAAATGATTCAGCTTGTTACTCTCAGAAAAGGTCATATATAAGCCTTAAAAAAGGCAGCTTTCAACAGCTGTAGTGACTCTACAAACAGATAGCTAAATCTGGCCAGAGTAAAACTGGCCTAAATCTACCAGTTTGCAGTGATTAATTGCTTATCTAGCCTTTAATTGTTAAATGTAATTCCTTTAAAACTTAATAAGAGAAGAAAATTATGCAGTGGTTCTCTCTATAATCTGTGTTTTTATAATTTTCAACTCAAATTGGCAGGTAATCATAGTCCTGTTAATTACAAGATTATGGGACTAAAATATTTATTGTGCTTGGCTTTCCTGGGCTTTTTTACTGTAAATATTAGAAATATGTTCATATCAAGTCATGATGCTTTCTGTCCAAACAAATTAAGTTTTTACAAATTATATATTTTGTGTATCTGTATTAATGTAGTTGCTTATTAACACAGGAGCCAGAATCTCTGTATAAATATTCTGTGAAATTATTCTTCCCTTCTGCTTCACATTTGTTGGGTTTTATTACTCCTTTATTGTTCAGTTGTCCCTATGAAACATATCCACCCCATCTGCCTAACTAGATCTGCAAGAGCACTGCATTTGAACAGGTTTGAGCTTTGCTATTTGAGGCTTACTTTTATGGCAGTGTTCATTTTGCACATAAAATTGCAATCTGTACTGTTTTTTATATGCTGGCAACTAAAAATGTTGAAAAGCTTGTGCTTTAAATGGAAAGCATGCAGATCATGTGGACTGCTCCAGGGTAGCGAACTCTGGGCTTCCAGATTCTATTGCTCTGGGGCAGCCCCACCTTATGAATTATCCTGGGGGCTGTGGACTCCAAAGCTTCCAGAATCCTAGGCCAGCTGTCTCCCTCTGCTGTCAGACTCCAGTAGCTTGGTGAGTCACCTGACCCAGTAGGCTGGCAGCCTAGGGGTCTATGGTCCCAGAACAGCCCTCATTGCAGAGCTGGAGCAGCAGCAGATT